GCCCCGCCGCCGCCGCCGGGACCCTCACCAGAGCCCCGGCAGCAAAGGCGCAGCTCCGCAGCACCTAGGCGAGGCACAGCCGCCTGCTTGACAGAAGGGTATCGCGTTTCCTTTCTCCGGCAAGGGTTTCTTTTTCTGGGGGAAGGAGAGGGCTAGAGAGGGGGAGGTGAAGCTGATTCAGGGGAAAACCGACGACTTCACTGAACCCTTTCTTGCTTCGTTTCTTATCTCAGTGGCCATCGCCGGGATGAGAGAGAAAGCCGGATAAAACGATGCTGATCGCATCAGGAACCCCAGTGGCGTGAGGAGCAGCCACTCTATTTGTAACTGTTTTCCTCAGTCTCTCCCCCCGCTGCCCCTCTCAGAGCTGTTAAATATCTGTACCATAAAATGTGAGGGATTTAAAGGTCTGTGGGAGGCTCCCTTTGAAAAGGACTCTGGGGAAAGTCTTTCTAATCCAGGATACTTGAGCCGGATGGGGTGGGATTGCCAGAGAGGCATAAAATAAAAGTCATTCGGCAGACAAGCCGAGGGGCTACGCTGACATGAAGAAAGCGCATTCGCCTCGATGTTTTGTTTTGTTTTGTTTTGTTTTGTTTTGTTTTGTTTTGTTTTGTTTTGTTTTGTTTTGTTTTGTTTTGTTTTGTTTTGTTTTGTTTTGTTTTGTTTTGTTTTGTTTTGTTTTGTTTTGTTTTGTTTTGTTTTGTTTTGTTTTGTTTTGTTTTGTTTTGTTTTGTTTTGTTTTGTTTTGTTTTGTTTTGTTTTGTTTTGTTTTGTTTTGTTTTGTTTTGTTTTGTTTTGTTTTGTTTTGTTTTGTTTTGTTTTGTTTTGTTTTGTTTTGTTTTGTTTTGTTTTGTTTTGTTTTGTTTTGTTTTGTTTTGTTTTGTTTTGTTTTGTTTTGTTTTGTTTTGTTTTGTTTTGTTTTGTTTTGTTGGAGATGTTGGAGATTGAGACTTCTCGTGTGCTAGTGCATGTGTGGAAACTTCTGAGCAAGCCAGGCGAGTGGCATAAATAAACAAGGCTGCGGAGAAAGGACGGGACACGCGTGTGAGCCAACCTGCAGCCAGCCAGCCAGCTCGCTCAAGCAGCATTAGCACCAGTGGGCAGAGAAAGCATGTCAAAAAATAAACGCTCCGCGAGAAACATAAGGAAAACATTAAACAAACGGGGAGTGCACTCCCTCTCCTTGCCCTGACAAAGCACGGCTGAGAAACTCCGCTCGCTGCCTCTCCAGCCTCTTCCCTTCCATGTGTCCCTGATACGGCGGGGACGTGTGGGGCAGATGTGTTGGGAGACAGTCCTGGGGACCACACGGGTCACCCAAGAGCCTCGGCAAACCTACTGGTGCGGTGTGTGCTGACCGAGGGCCAAGCAGAAGGGCAGGGTATGCATGAGTGACCAGCGGCAGGGGGGAGAGGTCGCTTATTTGCTGTGGAAGAGGAGCAGAGGCGTAGACCGGGGAGAAAACAAAAGCTGCGCCTTGACTTGAGATGGGATCTGAAAAGAGGCAGGGCAAGAGGATGCCAGAGAGCCAGGTTACCCCTCCAAACCAGCTCTGTTGAGGGGGGGGGGGAACACCCAACAGCAATAACAAACCAAACCCATAAACAGTTACTGCCGTTCTGCGATAAAAGGAGAGGATTTATGTTGCTGAAATGTGTGGAAGGAGCTTGTTCCAGAGCAAAACTCTGGAGTGCAATTCTCTGTTTATGTCGCTCATCCTGATGAGATATCGGTGGCAAAGTTCAGGCTGACATCAGCCCTCGGGAGGCAGAGCCAGCGGGCCGGGCTGGGCTGCGCGGGGCCGCACAGCTGCGTATGGGCCTGCGGCCGGTGGACTGCCGGCATCGGGGGGGATCGGGCTTGCAAAAAAGCCTCCTCTCGCCAGGCCTGGGGATGTGAGGAGTCAGCAGCAGCGCACACGATGGAGGGAGCTGCATGTAGCATTTCCTTGCAACTGAAATGGATGAATCGGAAACAGCTCCCAGGGTGGTTTTGTGTGCCTCTCTATTTTGGGGTTTATTAAAGAGGGTGGGGAGGGGGAGAATGGCTGATGGTCTGTATTGTTGCCAGAAAGTCAAAGGTGTCTGAGCCCTCTGCTTTACTGAACTACGTTAAAACCAGCAGCAGGAGACCGTAAAATCAGCTAGGTGGTGGGTTTTTTTTTTTTGTTTGTTTGTTTTTTAAAGAAATTAATCAAAGAGGAATAGTGTGTGGTGGTTTCACTATTGCAATTCCTGCCCAGCAGTTTCTCTGTGCAACTTTCCATAGCTAGAAAATGTTAATTTTGGTTTCCAGAATAGCTAACAAATTGGAGAAAAAAGGAGGTGGGCTCAAGATGCTCAGATTATATCCAAAATAAGATAATAATATTCAATTAATAGCTGATATTATGCTTGCTTAAAATGGCACTCTAGTCATAAAAACTAGCCATGTGAACAGGACAGCTGAATGCTAACCCTTTGTCATTCTTCTCTAGACTGGAAATAGTTTGTGTAAGTGAACAAAAGGGTCACTAATTTGCCTTTTCAACTTGGGAAACCCAGTAAAGAAATAAAGGCCTTGGATTACCCCTGATACATAACTTGAAAATGAAGCACACTGTGACCAGTACAATATCCTTATTTTTCAGTTGCTGCTCAGGGTGTAGATGGCATAGGTCAGACTTCACCACCAAGGAGGTATCCACGGTAGCATCCCCACAGACCTGGGTCAGTAATGTCCGCTGAAGGGAGAAGGGTTAGACAACTGGAACAGTCATCCCGAGTAAAAGTTTCACAATCTGACACATCTACTATTTGTTAAATACCAACAATATTCTTGGCACTGCACAGGACCCCAAATCATGACAGTCTTTGCCCCAGATATTTCATTTTTCTGTACAAACTAAGAAGCAGGCACAGAGTGGGCAAGGCATGCAGAGAGGTACAAATATGTAAGAAATTACCCAAACCACACACACACATACATATATATGTAAGTATGTGTGTGTCTGTATTACTACTCTTTTCCATATTTCCAAATCTGACAGTTGTTAAATTTCTCTGTGTTTCCTACCACAACCCATTAGTGCTTTAGTCATGTTCACTTTAGGAGGTTAATCTTCTGTGACATCATGAGCATTCTCAAAAGCTGTTAATATCACAAACAGAAGACTATAATTGCATAGTCTAAATAAACCAAAAGAAGTGAATAATGAGAAATGCTTTACTCACAATAAATTGAACCTATGAGAATATGTGTACTTTTTAAAAAATAAACTCGTTCCTAAAGATCCAGTCCCAATATCTTTAATAACGTCTTTATGCTTCAGATATTTAAAAGATGCAATGGCAGAACATTAACAAAATGTGCAGTAGGGAACAATCCTACACTGGCAACAAATAGACTAGATGACCTAATTGATTTTTCCCATCTCTGACTTGTGCAATTCTGTCATTGTAATAAAATCCCAGTGTAATCAAAGTCTGCAGGATCAGGCCCTAAATTAGCATGTCGGTCTGGACTATCCCTCAGCCTGGGCCAGGTCCAAAGCCTGCCGCTGTCAGCTTGACCCTTCATCAGCCCGAGAGAGGTTTGGATCTGGTCTTCTGGATCACACTGGAAGAGAGCTG